CCCTTCTCCCTCCGGCGTGGCTGGCGGAGGGAACGAAAGCAGAGAGAAAGGGACCCATGACACAGGCCTGAGAGGGACCTGAAGACCGCGTCGGGTGGCTCGCCGGGCGTGACTCAGCTGCAGTCTGAAAGTCAGAGGTGGCTCTTGGCCAGGCAGCAGCTTATTTAAAGCAGTGTGTCCCTCCCTTACCTAAACAGGCAAGGCACCCAATTCAAGAATGTTTATCCCTGGGAGTGTTAACGAAGATCCACTGGGTGACTCATCTTTTGAACCCAAATCACTGACTTTAAGAGCTATGTTTAAGGGACCAGCAGTTAGTATAATGGCTGTCGCTGGACTCCCACGTAGTCGACCGTGGTTCGAGTCCCGGACCCAGTGGCTTAAACTCACGCCAGGCGCGTGTGTGTGCGTGCCCAAGATCCTGAGAGGAGGAGAGGAGAATGGAGAAGGGATTGCAGCGTGGCCATCCCCACTGGGGGGTGACTTCTTGCTTTCTGTCTCTGTCTCTCTGTTTGGCAAGCGCAGACACCCTACAGCAAAAACCTCTAAAAAAAAAAAAAAAAGAGCTATCTTTAAAAGATTCAAGAAAAACAAACAAACAGGAAATACGAGCCAGCAGGAAGACCCAGGGGAAGACCAGAAGGGAAACCTCGGGTCACAGATAGGTGGGAGGCATCAGAGTCCGAGGGCAGGAGTTATCATCTATGGGACCAGGACTGGGAGTCGGGGACACCCATTGCCACAGGGAGCCTGAACCTCGGAGCAAGCTGGCGCCAGAACCGTGAGCCCCTGTCAGTGTCCCAACCACAGCCCTTTGGGAGGGAACCGCGGCAAAGCCCAGCCATCTCCGAATCCGACACACAGAATGGTGTTCAGGGACCCTGAGGTGGCTGGAGGTGGCCAGCAGAGTTCCAGAGGGAAGGAGATCCACAGAGACCTCCGTGGTGTCCCCTGCGCCTGTCAAAGGCACCGTGCAGAGAAGTCCATGATGCTGGGTGAGGGGCGGCTGCAGACCCGAGCTCACACGGGCCGGGAGAAGTTCACTCTCATGGCCAAAATGGACTCACCGGTCATGCAGGGTACTCAGCAGACCCCAGAAGGCCCGCACTTTGCGCTGAGGCAGACTAAAACTAGACTCCTCCCTCAGAGTTCAAAAGCCAACCCCGAAAGGCCCACTATGAAACGAGCCCAAGCCTTTCTGTTCGCTAACTGCCGGGGGTGTGACCGCGCTGCATCCCCTCCTTCCATTTCTCCGTCTGTCAGGACCATGGGTGTGTGTGGCTGGCCAGGGCCGGGATTCCAACTGTGGGATCCAACTTCCCAAGCTCTAGGCTATGGGTCAGTCTTTAAAGGAGAGGAAAACCCAGGCATCTCAGATCACGTTTACATTCTGTCCAGAGCTGCTTGGAATACTGAGCAGAAGGGACGTGAGCCTAACCGACAGACTCCACAGGGGCCGTCGGGGCATCCCTCGCAGGTGCAGCCACAGAGGCACACACCCCAAGACTGCTCTGCGGGTCAGGACCACATGGGAGGCCTGGGTTCGGTTCCCGTTTCAGACAAATGCTGGGTATGGTGGTGCGATCCCAGCCGGGAAGCTGAGCACAAGGATCACATCAGTAAGACCCAGCCAGAGACACCAACAAACAGCGAAGTCAGGTTGTTCTGAGACTTTAACAAGGAGATACTGAGAAAAGAAGACTATTAAAAATGACCAAATGAAACTTTCGGAAAAGAAAAATACACTATCAGAAATAAAATTTTGCTGCATGGAATTAAATGTAGATTAGAGGGGCCGGCAGGTGGCGTAGTGGCCGAACACGGTTCGAGTCTCGGACCTGGTGGCTTGCTTTCTCACTTTCCCTCTCTCACACTCTCTCTCTGTGTCTTTCTGGTCAAATTAAAAAATAAAATAAATGAATAAATAAAATTAAATAAATAATGCTTAAAAAAATGCAGATTATTGGGGCTGGCATGTAGCATGACGGTTAGAGCTCTGGACTCCCACTTGGCCGACCGCGGTTTGAGTCCTGGTCCTGGCAGCTTGCTTTCTTACTTACCCTCACTTTCTCTCTCTCTCTCTGGTCAAATTAAAAAATAATAATAATAAATAAAATAAAACAATTCATTTAAAAAGTGCAGATCAGATATTGCCATAAAGAAAAAAGTGAACTTGAAAATGTAATAATAATAGAAACTGTCTAAAATGAAACACAGGTAACCCCCACACCGCCATCTGGCCCCAAGTCTCCGTAGATTTGAGAAGACCGAAATCGTAACAAGACCATGCCGAGCACAGAGGAGTGAAATGATTTACACTGAAGGAGAAGAGTCTAACACTCACGCACAATGAGTAAAGTAAAACAGTATGTCACAAACCCCGTGCCATCCTCCTCTAAAACCCCAAAGGTTTTACCTGCTTGCAAGTCTAATGGCCAATTTCTGGGCTAGCGCTTTACACAAGGATGTTTTTCCAGTCCCTGGAGGACCTACAACAAGACCCAAACACACGTGGCTTTAAGTCAGTGAGTAACGAAGTGGCTGCAGTGGCTGCATCCCCACCAGAGACGAGGGCGGCACGTTAGGAACCACCAAGGCTATGACCGCAGGCCCTGCTTCTCCGCTCCTCAGAGGCCTCACAGCAGCTTAAGGACTGACATGGGACCACGTGCTCGCAAGCTTTTCTCTTAGTAACTTGGCCTCGACTTTCTCCTGGCCCGTAGTCAGCTCAGTATTCTGAACAAACACTGCATCTTCTAGTCTGGTCGTCACTTGACATCTGTCCTTGTCCTTGTTTCTCTATGAAATCCACTCAAGGCACCTTTCAAAGGTCAAACACACTTTTCTCGCTCAACGGAGGTAGCCGTCCTCCACTCACCAGAACTCTTAGGCTCAGAAGTGTGTTATTCCCATAACTCACAGCACCTCCACCTCCCACTGCAGAGAGCTCTGAGCAGGCTGGGTCCCACAGGACCCAGACAAGAACACTGTGCACGACTCACAGCCCACGTGTCCCTAGCAAGATGCCTTGAAGTGACAAAATTGAAGAGTCAATGCCTCTAATGGAAAATGGAGATATATTCAACTCTCGTTTTCTGCAAACATTTAATTATCTTCAATAATTAAAGTGGAAATGCATAACCAATTCCAAACAGAAAATAATGTATTTCACTAATTAAAATACCCACTGATTGCTTACTCTCATCCGATTAAGGTATCTGCTGCTTGGGACCAGCAGTTAGCATAATGGCTATGTTGCTGGACTCCCACATAGTTGACTGCAGTTCGAGTCCCGGACCCGGCAGCTTAAACTCAGGCTGGGCACGTGTGCATGCGTGCCCAAGATCCCAAGAGGAGAATGGAGGAGAAGGGATTGTGGCGTGGCCATCCCCCCGGGGGGTGATTTCTCGCTTTCTGTCTCTCTCTGTCTTTCTGGCAAGTGCACATGTGCCCTATAGCAAAAACCTCTCAAAAAAAAAAAAAAAAGATATCTGCTGCTTAAGAAACACTATTATTTTTAAATAATCTATTTTTAAAAGAATTATTTCATTTAACTTCACTTATTTATTTTAATTCGACCAGAGACAGAGTGAGAACAAGGGTGAGACGACCTTTTGAGTTCTGTCTCACTGTAACCTGGGTTATCTCTTGGTTCCACTCAACTTCTTTGTCCCCTTTCTACCCAATGACATTGAAAATAATAAAAAAAAAAGGCACAAACAAAACCCAAAAAAGCCCACCAATATTTTCTTCTAAGAACCAGACAGAATTTCTTTAAAACATGATTGTTGCAATTTTATTTTCATTTGGCACCACTTACAAAGTGAAGCCTGAGTATACTGCCAGGGAACAGGAAGTCTGTCCTCAGGAGTTAGGACTGGCTGCAGAAATAGGGCAGTTACTTGAAAAGGTCACTAATACAAGGGGCCACCAGGCAGATGCTACTGGAGACCAGCCTGTGTGAGGACGGCCCCGTCTGCTGGGAAGCCCCTCGAGACCTGGCGCATGGGTCCCCAGGCACAGGGGGCTGCACAGTCTCTGTAGCCCGCTTCCCAGAGAAGCTGGGTACCCCTGGGCTGCGTGCCCCATGTCCCACGTGGTGACAGCTCCCACATGCTGCGCCATTCCCAAGTGAATCTGTGCCCCCTTCTTAAATACATCCCGGCTCTGGGGAGACCCTGCTGCCCACATGTTCACCCTTTCCTGGCCGCTGTGCATTTCAGGATTTTCCACCATAAACACATACGGTAAATCTGCTGAGAAAATCGTACTGTTTGTAATCTGATCTTCTACTCGATAAATCCAGAACTCAAGACGAGGCTGCATCCGCCTTCTCTGGAATCGCAGCCCCCACCCCGCTAACTATTTAGACGACAAGTCTTTCAACACGCGTGTCACCGTGTCTCTGAGTCCATGGCAGATGCCAACAGAGTGCCCAGAGCACGTTTCACCAGATGGATTTCTAAGAGAAGGAACATTCTAGGACGACCCGGCTCCTCCAGAAAGCAGCTGCCCCTGCACGCAGGACAGAGGAACGAGGGGAAGCCGGACGTCACCGCGACCCACCCGGCCCCGCAGACCTTACCGTGCAGCAGCACCACTCGGTTCCACGTGATGAGGTTGCTGTTGACGTTCTTGTCTGAAAATAGCAAGGCTGTCATCACGTAATCCAGGAGCTGAGGGAGAGAAAGGCCGTGACACGAATGACAGAGAGAGGAGCCAGCAGGCTCTCACATCAGAGGGCATCTCGGGGGCAAAAGCCGCATACGGTTTCACAGCCACAGGGTGAGAATCGACAGGGTCGCTGTATTTCAAATGCTGAGATAAAAAGGGATCCCTAAGAGATTCGCCAAGTAACAATAAGCTCCTTTCTGTAGGATGACAGCATCGGGCACATCCACCCCAAACTAGCCACAGCCAGGACACCGTGAGGCAGTCAAGAGTGACTGTGTGGTGGGCTGTAGGCAAGCCCAGCGTGGGGATGGACGCCCCCCCCAGAAGGACGGAGGGATTAAGACCCGGCCCTTGTCAGGAGCCGCCTGCCTCCTCGCGCCTGTGTCCGCAGCCCTGCCCTCTGCAGCTCAGACGGTTCGCAGAAAGGCAGTAATTCACAAGTTCTCTCCGCACGTGGCTCCCTCACGCTTTCCTCCCAGAGACCAGCTCTGCTCTGGAGTCCGGGGCACCCTCGGATGCCCAAGATGCAAGCGGCTGGTGGACAGGGGTTCCCATCTGAGCCAGGGAGGTCTAAGGTGCTAGAGAGCAACACGATGCTTCCTCTTCAAATAACGGGGTGTCCCAGGGAAACACACGGCAACTTACATGGGATTTGACTTCCACGTCATACACGAGGCTGTCCCAAAGCCCATGGAACTCAGCTGGGAGTGAAGAGAACAGATCAGTTTCAGGAAGGCCAGCATTACGTACCAGCCAGTCTGCCTATGCACCAGTGCTCTGTGCTGTCCCCGCGTGGGCACTAAGCCTCCGCGCGTGGGGAAGCGTACGCTTTTCAAGGTTCCCTTTACGTTATTTTTCAATTCAGGTTTAACTCTTGAGATAAACAGAGTTTCTGTCTTGTTACCACGCATGCGATCTTCTGTGGATTGTGCTGACTCAAGTACAGACAGCGAATCCAGCCCCTCCTCACATGGCAGGCTGACATGGGCCGTGGGGACGTCAGGCACAAACCCTGAGAACACACTGGCTGCTGGG